AGAATTCAGGTGGGATTTTATCATTCCCTCCCTTCGAATCCTCCAATGATCCACCTTTAAACTGAAACTCAAGATCTTCAATAGGCCCTGCTCTGGGGTGTCCCCTCCCCCATCTTTGAAGCACTTTGCTTTTCTCTTAAGGCTCAAGTTTTATTCTAGCTTTTATTACACACGTCAGTCTACTTGCTGAAGCTCTAACCAATGTCTTATGCATAATAGGGACTGAATCAGTGTTTTAGTACAGATGAGGTCTCAAGGATCCCATGTCATACAGCAGAAAATTGTTTTGACACCACACTTACAGTCATTTTTTCCCCCATTTTCTCTACTTCAGGGGTCTGTAACTTGTCTTGCTGTGTTATCTTCTTTTAAGGTTTCATTCTTTCTTTGTTATATGATGTCTTCTCTGTTATTTATCCTAACACGACTCTTTCTTTTTACTATACTAATTTTTTCTTTTTTTCTCTTTATTGAGATATAATTGACATATAACATTGCTAACACTACTTTTTATTCTAGCGTCCACCTGTATACCTGTGTTCCTTCATTTCCGTGACTACTTGTACAGTGTGTTTTTTGATCATTCACCTTCAAATCCAAACATGCATATGAGCCAGTGCAGGCATCTATTTCGTTATGTCTTCTAAAGTGCCTGGGCATTTACATTGAAATAGACATGCTTGAACATCTATTAATGTACAATATCAAAATATTGAAATTCCATATTGAAATAAACATTACTATACTTTCCTTTCCTTTTGTTTCTCCTTAACATTTTAGTCAGGGCTTTACATTTGTTTTCTTTTTGAAATTATATATACGGATGGTTAGCGGCAAATATTCGTTCAACATGGCACAGGGGACATTGCTAAATACATGTTATAAAAAGTGGGTATTTGTTCTGATTGAGTGAAGAACCACTATTTTAAGCAGTCCTTAAAATCTCCTTTGAAGTTGCCTGCAAGTGGGGTGACTGCTCCCTGGTTTGCCTGGAACAGTCTTGATTTTACTCCTGTTGTCCGGGCAGAATTATTAATTATGCCCCTTTCAGTGTCCAGAGTCTCTGTTTGGATGATAAATTATATCATCGCACCTTTTTAGAAGTATGTCTTCTTCTTACCATCATGATCACATTATTCCCCTTTCAGCAGCATTCTCTGTGTCTACTCAGTCTTTGACAAAATGTGCTTAGTACCTCCACTATTGAACTTTTCATTCCTAAAACCTGCTAGCATCCTCGTTTACTCATTCTTGAAAAATCTGAGATGACTGTTTAAATACCTTTGGTGTCTTGGCCTTTTTTTCCCTCTCACTAACTCGATCCTGTCTTCACTAATTCTCTTAACCTACTCTTCTATTTGGGGCATTTCTACCTTAATCCCCTTTCCACTTATTTTTCTACATAGCCTTGCTGTTCTGCCAGATTTTCATACTTTCACAAAATTAATTTTGCCTTATCTGACAATTTGCAACTTCAAATTGTTGCCTATAAATAGACCCTGTTAGCTATTTTAGCCCCAATTCTCTGTTTGCTTTGATGTATGTCTCTGGTGTTGACACACATTAAGATGAGCATTCCTCAATTCCATTTTTAGCTGACTGCTTTATATGTTGCCTTTGGATTGTACCATAAACTGCTCTTACTCTGATACAGAAGTACCTCCAAACAGCACACTTTTGGTATTCTTTGAGGAAATGCCATATTTTTGCTCTATCTTTTAAGGAGTAGAGGAATTTTAGCCTTTGGATTAAGACATTTAGCTCCCAAGAGTTTTAAAGATTCTTAGTATAATTTTTTTATTGTGATAAAATACATATTACATAAAATTTGCCATTTTAACCCTTTTAAAGCGTGCAACTCAATGGCATTAAGTACATTCACAATGGTGTGCAGCCCTCACCACTGTCTAGCCCCAGAACTTTTCATCACCCCAAACAGAAACCCCACACCCATTGAGCAGTCACTCCACTCCCCCCTCCCCCAGCCCCCGGCAACCACTCAATCTGCCTTCTGTCTCTGTGGATTTGCCGCTTCAGAACATTTCAAATGAATGGAATCATACATTTTTTGTGTGTCTGGCTTTTTTCACTTAGCAAAAATTTTCAGGGTTAATCTTTGTTGTAGCATGTATCATTATTTCTCTGCATGGCTGAATAATATTTCATTGTATAGATAGACCTTATATTGTTTATCCATTCATCTGTTGATCAGTCTAATTTTTTAAATTAATTATTTATTTCTATTAAAGTATAGTTGATTTACAATATCGTGTTGGTTTCAGGTGTACAGCGCAGTGATTCACTTATATGTACACATATTCCTTTTCAGGTTCTTTTCCCTTATAGGTTATTACAGAATACTGAGTGTAGTTCCTTGTGCTGTACAGTAGGTCCTTGTTGGTTATCTATTGACCAGTCTAATTTTTATCAGATCTTTACCCCAATGTGAAATGAGTGGTACAGTAGCATGATAAGTGCAGTGAATGGTACCTGGATATTTTAGATGAGAGTCTTAGTGATTGGTGTGTGCCTAATGCTGTGGAATAGAGCATGTATAAGAGGCGATTACGTTTTGATATATTTTCTTCTGGTTGTTTCACTACGTTTGGGTATTTTATCTTATTTTTACCTGATTATGATCACATTGAATAGACAAATTTGCATGCTGCTCTTTTTTTCCATAAAATTCATTCGTTTAACAAATATTTGAATACCTACTATGTGCTGGGCACTGGCCTGGATACTTCTGAGGAATAAAAAGTTCTGGTGGGAGTGTGGCTTGGGAGTTATTATGGACATTATTTAAAGCTATGGGACTAAGACCCCCCCGGGGAAGAGTCCATAGCGCTGAGGAGAGGACCCAAGACTCAGCCCTAGGGTGCTCTCAGAGATAAAGTTCCAGAAGAGAAGGAGGTTGAGGAAAGAATAGGCAACCTGGTAAAAGCAGGAGAGTCTGGAGGAGAAAGTGCTTTGGAGAGGAGTGGCCCCTGCTGTCAAGTGCTACTGAGTGAGATTGTCAGAGGATTAACCACTGGGTTTGGCAAGATGGTGGTCGGAATGGAGCTCAGTGGAGTGGAGAGGATCACAGCCCAGCTGGAGTGTGAAGAGCAAATGATATAATATTTTTAACATATTTCTGCATGTTTCATATATTCTTAAACATAATTTGGTGGCAGAATACGATGTCTAATTGTACATTTTACTAAGCCACTTATTGTCTCCCTACTCTGTGACATTTATGTTGTTTCCAATATTTACTACTACAAACAACACCAAAGTGAGTAGCTTTGTAAACTTTCTTTCCTACTTTTAGCATCGTTTCCTTTAACTGGAGAGACAGAAAGGAAGATGCTGATCTAAGAGCAGAGCATCTTTAAAGCTGATGATTCTCATTTGCTCAAATACCTTCTAAAAGCACTTCCTCCAGTGGTGTCCGAGGGACCCCAGCATCTTGACTGCAGTTGTCAGTTGGGCCTTCCCAGAGCAGGTCTCTCCTTTTATCAGCTTATAAATTCTTTTAACCTTGAACAGAGAATTGAATGACAAGAACTAAACCCACATTATGGGATGAAAACTATACACTGCTCACCAAATAGTTATGTTAAGCAGAATGCATGTACAACAAGTGTCAACCCTTATGGCATCTCAGCTTACATGTGAGGCAGGCATTGTTATTAACCCTTTTTCACTAAGGTCCTGGTATAACCTTCAACCAGATATGGCTGAGGGAGGTACTCAGCCATGACCTTCACCTTCCATTCCTGTGTTCCTATGCATTCACGTAGATGTGATCAGTGTGGAATTTAAGGAAGTTTACCCTTTTCCGGGAGACACCCTGCAGATCTCCCATTACAGCTGCCTGCCCATATCAGGGAATGACTTCTACCCTTTCCATGCGTGCCTTGGGTGGAGTTTAATAAACATTCCCGGGCTTCCCTGGTGGCGCAGCGGTTGAGAGTCCGCCTGCCGATGCAGGGGACGCGGGTCCGGGAAGATCCCACATGCCGCGGAGCGGCTGGGACTGTGAGCCACGGCCGCTGAGCCTGCGCGTCCGGAGCCTGTGCTCCGCAACGGGAGAGGCCACAACAGTGAGAGGCCCGCGTACCGCCAAAAAAAAAAAAAAACAAAAACATTCCCAGTGTGTCGCAGAAAGAGAACAGCTTCCAGGCTGATTGTCATCTCAAAAATGCCCTCCTCTCCCCCTCCCCATTCCTCAAAAACACCCCACTGCTGTATAGTCACCTCCTGGTCACGTTATGAGTTGCTTCTCCCAGCAGCAGCAGTTGGGTGAAGGAGCTGAGCCCAGCCGCCTTGCACAGTCTGCTGTTTAACTGCTTCCCGCCCAGCACGGCAGCCCCCCACCCAGGACTGGCAGTGCCCAGCGTCCCGCTGGTGTAGGTTCTGGGAGGTGCTGGCTGCTCTGGAGCTTGTCTCCTGTGATCTGCTCCATTCCAGCGGGACAGACCCTGCTGTTTGCTGGGCGTTAAGTGGAAGGGTGGAGTGGTGATTGGGTCAAAAATGAGTAGATGTAGTAAGAGAGATGCATGTGCATCTCCCCTGTCCGTTCAACTGGCTCCTTTTCTGGAGAGGTCCTGATCGCCACAGATCATCCCCGAGTGGAAGGTCCAGGGGCATATAACCACTCAGCAGAATGGTGGAGTGTTCTAGAATAGGTAAGCCGGGATCCTTTCCTGTACCATTACTGGCTCTGTGACTCAACTGGGCAACTATATGTCTCCGAATCTCATTTTTTCTCACCTGTTTAAAAAAATAGAAGGATGTTGTAATACCAGCCTCCTTAAAGTATTACAGGAAATCCGTGCGACGATGCATGTAAAGCGCCCACCATAGAGCCTGACCCAGTATGGGCTCGGTCAGGGTGAACTGTTCCGTCATTATCCGCGCCCCGCCCCCGCTGACTCTTTCTGGCTTTTGTTGCTCCCAGTGTGTGGCTCAGACCGGACTTTTCAAGCCTCTTTCTCTTTGTTTCCTACTTGCAGGGGGCTTTGTGAAGAAGCACGGTCAGCCTCTTGTTTCCAAAGCCTTGGGGTAAGTTCCAGGATGTCCAACCCAGCGTTAGGTAACGGGCGTTTCCTGAGGCGTTGGCAGAACAGCCTGGGGAGCCAGTCTTCTCAAACATCTTGGGTTGTGATAACTGAAGCGGGAGCCTATTGTGGTGTGATGTGTCAGTCACGCGCATCTCCTGACCTGGAGGCCTCTATGGATACCCCTTTGACGAGTCCAGTTGCTAAATGGAAGTGGGCTATGTGGCCATAGTCTGCAGGAGTCCCTAACAACCAAGGCAAATAGTCAGAAGACTTAAATAAGCAGACTTACAAGGGGCAGTCAGTATGTGAATTTCGTATGGCAAGTAAGCCTAAATGGTGAGGGTAAGTAACAGTGGCTGCTGTAACAGGCAAGCCCCCAGATTGCAATGGCTCGACACAGGGAAAGGTGATTTCTTACTCAAGCAAAGTCAGTGCACATGTTCTTGCACAGGTGGAAAACCTTCCTATGATCTTTCAGGGACCCAGGCTCCTTCTGTTCTGTGGCTCCATCGTCTCCTAGGCCTTGGAGCCTCAGCAGGACTCTGCATCCAGCCAGAAAAGTGGGCAAGAGAGGCTGTGGAGAACAGCACAGGAGGTTTTGATGGGTCCAGCCTAGAAACGGCACATGGTGTTTCTGCTTTCTGATCACAGTCTGTGGGCCAAAGCTGGGCTTTGGCCAGACCTCCGTAGAATTCAAGCATACCTAACTTCACGGGAGGCTAGTAACTGAAGGCTGGCTGCACGCTCAGGAGGTGGAGGCAATCGGTTTCGATGCCACAGATCTTTTCAGACATGTGTTTGAGGCACAGAATTGGGAAGGTTGCGCTTTGCTGATTTCTGAGCCCAACGTAAGTAACTTGGGTGGGGACAGAGAGAAAAGCATCTGCATTGCTGTAGATTCTCTGCTGATTTCTTTTCAGGGACAGATTTGCAGCCCCTGCGGTGGAGACCCGTCCCAGCATCTGGGGAGAATGCCCACCAAAGTTTGCTACTAAGCTGGGCCGAGCGGTGGTCAAAGAAGGACAGATGGGGCGATTCTCCTGTAAGATCACTGGCCGGCCCCAGCCACAGGTCTCCTGGCTCAAGGTGAGGTTTTGTCTGCCCTGACTCTGGGTTAGATCCCTGGGCTACGGGGAGTTGGTCTTCCCAATCAGTCCCTTCCACTTCAACTGTAGAGCGTCCTTGAGGTTCTCATGTGTTTGGTAGCCGTGCCCGTTCTTGCCCCTGTTTGCACACTCTCCCTGTGTTACTCAGCCCACGATGTCCTGTAATCCACACGCTCACAAAACAGTATAAAACTTCCGAGTCAAAACAGACCTGACCATGTCAAGAGAGTGGAGTCTGAAGTCTGGGGCTGATTTCAAGGCACAGCTCCCTGATTGACAAAGCATGAGATGCTGGGCAAAGCATTTGATCTCTTAGAACCCCAGTTTCCTTATCTATGAGGCAGAGATGATCCCACCTACCTCCAAATACTGTTGGGAGGCTCCACGTGGGAGTGCTTTATAAATCATTCAGGGCTGAACAATGTGAAGACAGAGGTGGGGGGGTGGGGGAGGGGGAAGAGGAGGCAGCAGTGGCCGGGGGCAGCCCATGTTAACAGGGCAATGAGGAGCTCTGGGGGTCAAGGCCAGGGAGAGGAGCTTTTTCACAGACGGAACTCCTGTATAAAAATGAGTGACAGGATGCCTTTTCCCTGATTCCTGATTCTCCTGTACTGACCCTGGAACATCAGTAAAAGGAAGAGGAAGACAGAGGAGAACTAAAGTGAGGAATATAGGATTTCCCGCCTCACACTAGGGCTCCTTCGAAACAGGTTCCATACACCTGCCCTCAGCTGGACCGAACACCACAGCGCATCCATGCTCCTCGAGTCAGGACCCTTGGGTTGCCCTCAGGCTGCTCGCCAAGCATGTTGACAGAGCCCAGAGCAGAGGGCCCTGCTGTGCATGCCTGGTGTCTGTCCCACCTGGATTGACAGCAGGTAGGACAGAGTCAAAAGGTGAGCAGTTTCTCTGACCAAGCTGCCTATGCCATCCCCAGGGAGATGTTCCCCTGCAGCCCAGTTCCCGTGTGTCTATGTCTGAGAAGAATGGGATGCAAGTCCTGGAAATCCACGAGGTCAACCAAGATGACGTGGGAGTGTACACGTGCCTGGTGGTGAACGGGTCAGGGAAGGCCTCCATGTCTGCTGAGCTCTCCATCCAAGGTATCAGGCGGTGGGAGGGCTAGTGCCGGACTGTCCCTTCCTGGAGTCCCTACCCTCCTAGAAGGAGCTGCTTGATCATTACGTGTCTGTGTGTGACACGTGTCGCACTTACCTACTCATGTGTCCCTCCCCAGGGGCAGGGTCTTGAATCAGAAGAAAGGGTAGCACAGACACGGCCATGGAGGAAGATGCTTCACGTGTGTCTGCACACCTGTGTTCAGTTTTTCCTTCTTGCTCAGACTCCTTTTTTTTTTTTTTTTTTTTTTGCGGTACGCGGGCCTCTCACTGCTGTGGCCTCTCCCATTGCAGAGCACAGGCTCCAGACGCGCAGGTTCAGCGGCCATGGCTCACGGGCCCAGCCGCTCCATGGCATGTGGGATCCTCCCGGACCGGGGCACGAACCCGTGTCCCCTGCATCGGCAGGCGGACTCTCAACCGCTGCGCCACCAGAGAAGCCCCAGACTCCTTTTTTATTTACATCTCTAATTGCCTTTTGGAAGAGTGGGCGTTGCTAATGTCTTGCCATCACCTCAGATTTAACCTGCCTGAAATTGATCTCGTCATCCATCCTGTCGTTCAGATCAGGTGCTCCCTCAATGTAACTCTTTGCTTCCCACCAGACTGGGCATTTCAGCATCGCCTATGACTCCTGTCTCTTCTTGCTGTAGTCATCAGCCCCAGTAAACTCTTCTCTTGAAACCTCTTTGAATACGCCTCTCCCTTACATTCCCCTTGGTTCTGCCAAGTCCAGCCTGGGGAAGCCAGAGTGTGTGGAGGGGGAAGGGGATTGACGTCACTTCATTCTAGCGGGAACCTTGAGCGGGGTGGGATTTGGGGATCTGGGAGGGAAGCGACCTTACTCTCTCCTCCTTTCTTACCCTCATTTCTTTGATCTTCCTCTTCCCCGTCTCTTTCCTTTCTCAGAAAATACCCCTTCTTGCTTTCTGTACATTTTTGGCCCAAGTGTGTTCACTACCCACAGAAACAAATTTATTCTACATTGCAACCCAGGAGATAGATAGATAGATAGATAGACAGATAGATAGATGGAGAGAGAGAGAGAGAGATTTAACTAAAACAAGTTTTATGAAACAATCCTGAGTATGTACAGTACATGCTGGCATTTTCTCTTCCATTCTACACCATTAAAAGGAAAAACCCTGGGGACTTTCCTGGTGGTCCAGTGGGTAAGACTCCATGCTCCCAATGCAGGGGACCCGGGTTCGATCCCTGGTTGGGGAACTAGATCCCACATGCTGAAACTAAAAAAAAAAAAAGATCCCACGTGCCGCAGCTAAGACCCGGTGCAGCCTAAATAAATAAATAAATAAATGAATATTTAAAAATAAATAAAGTGTAGGACTACCACATAAGAAAACGTTGGCAATTTTAAAAAAAGAAAAAGAAAAAACCCTGGTCCTGGCCATAGCATTTGGCTTCACAACTCACTACAGGCTCAGGACCTGCTGTTAGTCATCTGGAGAAGTGTTTTAGTCCCTCTCCCTTTACTTGCCCTGGCACTGAATTAAAGAACTGTCTCCTTCTGAAGCACTTAATGACATTTTGTTTGAAAATATTCCCAGAAAAAGCCCCTCAAATAACCAAAACAAAAAGGGATAGATAAGATTGGCAAAAGGTTGATATTTCCCTAATCTGGGTGTAGGCTTTCAGTGTTTGTTATATCCTTCTCTGTACTATTGTATATTTTGTAATTTTCCGTGATAAAAATGTTTTAAAATCGTGTGGCAAGAAAAACATATCTAGTAATTGTATGTTTTTTCTTTGAAGAACTGAATAAAATTACACTTTTTCTGTATACTTTAAAATGAAGCAGGTATTTGTCAAAAATGATCACTGGGGGTTTCTTTTTGAGGGCCACATGCAAGTTAAACTTTCTGGGTTTGAAGTTGTCAGTAGAGTGGTGTTTGCTTCCTTCTGTGGGCTAGAGAACAGGAAGCTCCAGTGCCCAGGGCGGGGCAGCAGAGCCTGCCATAAAGGTCCCAGGGCAGTGCTGGAAGCTTAACAGTGTCTCCAGGGCTCAGAGGAGTTTATCAGATTAACCCAAGAAGTTCAGGACCAGGGAAGCTGAAAGGAGAGAGGGAGGGAGGACCATAGGTGATGGGGAAAGTGAGAGTTTGGGAAGCCAAACTCTGTCATAAACAAGAGATGGTTGTCGTATCACTTGCTGTTCTTGGTGTATAAAACATTCCACTAACGGTCCTTCTACCTTCTCCCTTTTTCCAGGCTTGGACATTGCCAATAGGTATGTGAAGGCTTTGTGATCATCATGTTTCCATCTTGAAATGCCCTGAGAGAAAAGAGGGCTCGTCATCAAGAAACGCCCTGAATTTCTGAATCACCATGTAGGGGGGAGAACTGACTGTTTAGGAGGCACTGTTTTATTTGGGGTGTTTAGTTTTATTCTATTGAAATTTGCTGTCCAGATCCTGTGTCAGGCTTGCCATCAGCATCGAGACTCTTGAAGACCCTGCTCAGTGTCTTTACTAGTTAGCTGTCATTAGGAAGGGCACTGCTCTGCAAGGATGCCCTCCACGTTCAAGGCCAGAATCTACTTGCTCACCCAGCACGTCTTCACCGGCAGAGCTTCCTTTCCTGAGCGTGAGGCTCTGTGCTAGATGCTGGGTAGGCATGGCGAGCTGTCTGGTGTAGAGAAGGGCCTTAAGCAGAGCCACACAAAACATGAGCGCTAAGCATAAGTGCGAGAAGCGCTCGTTTGGAGTAGAGTGTCAGAGGACCCCTCTTCGAAAGCTTGATGTTGGAGCCCAGGCCTGTGAGGAGTAGTATGAGCTAGGAGAAGAAAAGCCCAGGGAGAAAGTGTTCCAAACAGAGGTGTTGCAGGTGTGAAAGTGGTGAGTTGAGAGGGAGCCTGGGGCCCAGAGAACCCTGAGGGGCTGCAGCCTGGTAGGCACTGGAGACAGTGTCTTGGGCGGGGGGGCGTCCACGCAGAGCCACCTCCCACATGGCATCCCTGCAGGCCGTCTTGAACAGCTCAGTTTTACTCTTAATCGAGTGGAAAAGCTGTTGGAAATTCTTAAGCTTAAAATGTCATTCAATTTATGTTTTTAAAAGATGGACGGTGCGTGCTACGTGGAACTTGGGTTAGGGCCAGCGTGGACAGGGGACATCGCGTGTTCGAACCAGGTCGGGGCTCGTGGAGAAGAGAAAAAGGGCAGATGTAATAAGTGTGGATAGAACACTGGGCTAGGGATGGGTTTGAAGAATGGCTGCTTGTTTTCTGCCTGGAAACTGAGCAAACTGCATAGAAAGACATCGGCTCTTACTCTGTCTTGATCTGTGGGCTTTTGTAATCCCTGGAGTCTGGGCTTGTAATGCATAACGAGATGATTGTTCTATTTCTTCTTCTGCCCCACTGTCCCCCGCCACGCAACCCACCAAACAGGTCGCTTGTGAGAGGAACAAAGGTGGCCAGTTCAGACATCAGGAAGGAAGTGACCAATGGAGTCGCTCAGGGGCTGAAACTGGATGGCTTGGAGGCTGCAGCTGAGAGTAAGAACTGCTCCAGCATCCAGAGAGGTGGCTCCCCTGCCTGGGCCACGGGGAGCCAGCCTCAGCCCCTGAGGGAATCTGAGCCGGAGCCAGTGGGGGACTCGCCCGGAAAGGCCCTGAGGACCCCCGTCCTGCAGAAGACTTCCAGCACCATCACCCTGCAGGCCGCGAAAGTGCAGCTGGCACCGAGAGTGCCAGTCTCGGGTGCCCCGTCTCCTTCCAGAGAAGAGAGGGAGAAGCCAGCTGCTCGCCCTCCAGCCGCCCTCCACGCCAGGCAGTGTGGCCTGGGAAGCCAAGACACTGTGGGCCAGGTTGCTACCAGGAAGGTCCCCACGGAGGGCCAGGGGGACACAACATTCCCCAAATTTGAGACCAAGCCCCAAAGCCAGGAAGTCAGTGAGGACCAGCCGGTCAAGTTCAGATGCGAGGGTGAGTAGAGCTGCCTGAGGCCGCTGGTGCCCACACTTAGCCCCCGGGGGGCCACTCCCGTCCTTCCGCTCAGTGGTCAGAGTCTCCTGTATCCCCCGACCCCAGGAAGCACCTTACAGGGGTCTCCCCTCCGGAAGGACTCAATCTCGTCATGTCTCTTGTTCTGGAGAAACTCCTAGCAGTGACCCATTGTTCATGGTTAGAGACAGCACTGACCCTGAGCCCTAATTCTCACCACCCTCCGCGGGAAACCCATCACCACCATCTCCACCGCACACAAGCCGCAGGGGCCCCTCCTCTTTCCTCCCTCTGGCTGACCTGGAGACCTAGCTTATCACCTTGTAGCCTTCCTCCCCAGGGACCCTGCCTCCATCTTGGGATGTGGGGTGGAGGGGTAAGAAAGCAGGTTGAAGCGGGAGGGCGGCCGCACACGGGACTGGGCTCTGCCCTCCAGCTCAGCCTCTCCACCCCTACCTGCGCCCCACAAGTCCAGCGTGCTCTCGGGGGCCTCCCGTCCTCCACCTGGCCCTGTAGTTTCAGGGATCCCGAAGCCTGAAGTGACCTGGTTCCTGGACGGGGCCCCCTTGAGGAGAAGAGAAGGCACCATCGAGGTGTATGAAGCTGGGGGGACCCATTACCTCTGCCTCCTGAGAGCCCGGGCCAGGGACAGCGGGAACTACAGCTGCACGGCCACCAATGTCCGAGGCCGGGTGTCCTGTGGCTGGACCCTCCTGGTGAAAAGTGAGTACATTCCTCCAGGTCACCCTGGGTTCCCTGAGGGAGGACCTCTGTGGGGTGCTTCACACACCGCACAAGCGTCACCTCCTGCAGCCCCCTGCCCAGGGTGTACCACCCAACAGAAACATCGCCCCCACCCACCGGCCAAGGCCAGAGTCACTGCTCCAGGACAGTGATTCCTGATAAGGAGTTCGAATCCGAATCACCTCAGAATAAACATGCCCAGGCCCCAGGCTCAGCCCAGCTGTGGGCTGCCAAGTCTCACAGAGAACCAGATCGACACACCGAGAGTGATGTGAGGTGATGTGAGGGCCACATCTTTTGTGCTCGTTATAGTGTCTGTTTATAAAAGCAGTGCATGTTCATTGAGAGGAATGTAAACACTCTATATAATCTTATGACTCAGAAGTAAATGATAGTTTAATATTTTTAGAACACGTTTAGCTTTGTGCTGTTTGTATACTGCTTGCTATTCTAATTTGCTCACATTACGTAAGCATCGTTCTATATTTTTTAATATCGTTTAAAAGCATGCTTTGGGGCTTCCCTGGTGGCGCAGTGGTTGAGAGTCCGCCTGCCGATGCAGGGGACATGGGTTCGTGCCCCGGTCCGGGAGGATCCCACATGCCGCGGAGCGGCTAGGCCCGTGAGCCATGGTCACTTAGTCTGTGCGTCCGGAGCCTGTGCTCCGCAACGGGAGAGGCCACAACAGTGAGAGGCCCGCGTACCGCAAAAAAAAAAAAAGCATGCTTTGTGATGGCCTTATAATATTTCATAGAATGATGTTTAGGCATGGCCTTATTGTTTCCATTTAGATTGTTTCTATATTTTTTCACTACTGTAACAGAACTGTGTTTAGGGACCCTAGACTCATGTCATACTGTTGAGGAACTTATTAAACCACAGCACACTGCAGGCTGATGGAAACTCTATGAGACAAATAACCTTCACCTATTTTTTCAACAAGTAAATTGCAAGCCAAAAGGAAAGAAGGAACAAACTGCAGGAAACTTAGATGAAAAGACACATAAGAGACACCAGTAGTTGCAATACATGGACTTTGCGTGGATCCTGATGGAGACACCTTAAAAAATTTTGTTTGTAAGAACATCAGGAAAATTTGAGCACGGACAGGATATCCAGTATAAAGGAGTTAGTGCTATTTTTAAGATGTGATGGTGGATCTCGTGGTGATTTTTTTCAAAGTCCATATATTTTAGAGATATAAGCTGAGTTATTTACTGGTGAAATGATATGATTTGTGATATTTACTTCAGATATAATCCATGTGTTGTGGGACTCAGTGGCGGGTATGAATGAAGTGAGATTGGCCATTATGAAAGTTGAGAAACAGGGATATGATGATTCACTATACAGCTTTCTCTACTTTTGTGTATGTTTGAAATTTGCCATAATAAATGTTTCAAAAAAAAGAGCTTACTGGTTCATTCACACAGTAAGATGCCATGAAGCCAGGGGAACGAATGTGCCTGACCTGTAGACCCTGCTAGTGAAACCCGTCCAAGATATGTTAGTACGGGGGACAAGCGAAGTGCAGAGAGAGCCGTGTGTATCATATGCTGTTTGTGTTAAAGGAAAAAAAAATCTGTGTACACAAAGCAAACTGATGCTTGTGTGTGCGTAAACATTTCTGGAAGGGTTCACAAGTTACCTCTAGGAAGAGAAACTGGGGGTCCAGGAAGGGGTGAGAGGTAGTCTTGCTTTTCACTGTATACCATTGACTCACTTCTTAATTGGGAATTTTACTACATTTGTGATTTCCTCCGCAAGGAATAGTATCCATTCATTTGGAGGTGGGAGCACCTGTAGGCAGAGGTCCCAGCTTCATCATCCAGGACTCTGTGTCAGGGCGGGGGACTCGCCTAACATTGGGTCCACCAAAGGTTAAAAACCAAGAAGCTTTGGTTGGAGCGTTAGCTACTATTATTAAATGGAAGCTGTGCGTGGAGACTGTACCTACAGCAAGTTGGGGGTGAAAGACGCTGTGGGTTTTAAAGCCACCGCAGAGCTGGGCAAGGGGGTGGAAACTGGGCATGCCACAAAGCTAGCTGTGCTTCCCAGGATTCAGCTGTGTGTGTGTTTGTTTTAGGATGAAGGCTGCTCAGGATGCTGCAAGCCTTCGGGTAATTTCCAGAGTTCTGAGAAAGTGGGTGTTGAGTCCTTTTGCCAGCGTCCCTGTTCCTCGTCTGGAGGGGCAGACTTATGGAAGTCCTTAGTCTGCCATTCCAGAAGCCCTGCTTGACTGCTTTTCTCCTTAGCTGTTCTCTAGAAGCCTTCACCAAGATGTCGGTCGTCTAACGCGTCTTCCTCTCTTTCTTCCTATCACTGCAGAAAAGCTGCCTGTTTCCTTACCAAGACTTCTCTTTCCATCCCTGCCATCCCCACAAAGATCGGGTCTAATAACGATTAACTCTTCCACTATTTCTTCAGTCTCTCCCTGTCCCCCTATCTAGAGGCCTCTTTCTCCTCCCTACGGGTGTGCTCTGGTCTCCCCTCAACTAAAAAGAAAAAAAAACTTCCTTCTGCTTCAGTGACCCTTAAGCTCCCACGTTCTCTCTCTCACTCTTTTACCCCAAAACTTGGTGCTACTCCAGTCTCCAGTTATTAGCTGATAATAACAGCTAATCCCCCACCGAAAGCCTGTTCAATGTGCCAGACTTCGTGCTAAAAGCTTTACTTGCATGGCCCCATTCAGTTATCCCAACAAGCTTACGAGATAGAGTTACACCCATTTTCCAAATGAGAATACTGAGCTGTAGTGAGGTTCAGTGACTTGTTCAAGGTCCCATGCCTTGTAAAAAATAGCCTATTCCTAACCCGTGTTGGTCGGACACAAAAGCCCATATTGTTTTCAGTGACTCCCAAAGGCATTTCTCTAATGGAGGAATTCGATGCCGTCCAAAGGGGTGGAGGTGGGGCCTCCCCCCACCTGTCCAGATAGGCTGGTATCCCTTCCCTCAGTACCAGTCCCATTCAGATGCACCACATCCTGACTTGTAGCTGTGCTCCCACCGCTACTCTCCCTCTAGGGGAGCTCGGGGCTAGAGGAAGTGTGGATGTAAAGTCAGAGAACTGGGTGTAAAGCCTTGCTTCACCATTGGGCTTGACTTTGGGAAATTATGAACTTCATCTATACGAGCTAAAGATAGCAGTCTCGTGGCATTGTCACCTCTGGAAAAGTACCTGGTAAGCCCTCGAATGTTAGCCTTTGCCCTTAAACCTTTGCTGTATAATATGCTTTTCCCCTCATCACTGTATGGAATAGCCTCTTGAAAAGTACCAGTGAGATGTCTTCTCATCACCAAATCCAGTTGCCTTTTCTCAGCTCTCAGCCACCTTGACTCTTCTGCAGCATGTTCTGGGTGTTGTAGAAGAGATTTTCTATCCCTATTGCTCTTAATTATGGCCCCCAAACTACAAAACACTCCCCAGCTCACCTATGTAGAAGGCCTCTGGAAAGTTCAGCTCAGTGGTTCTCAGTGAGATTGTGCATCACAATCATGGGGGGGGACTGAGTAATGCATTGTCCCAGGCCCCCAGTGCTTCTGAATCACTGGCCAAGGTTGGAAAACTAGAACCCATGTAAGTCCTTGTCATTTGATTCTGTCCTGGAATTGGAAAAATTAGTTATAATAATTTAAAATTGAAATGTCCTCACCAATGGGCATGTGGTCTCTACAAGTGAAAAAGATATTCACAAGAGTGTGCAGGGTCTTTAGCTATTACATACAATGTTTCAGTGTTCGTCCTTGTACATATATCTCTTGAGTAAACCATAAGGGGATATTTCTATGATTAGATCATAGAGGTTGCCAGTCTGTTTTTTTAATTTATAAATTGTTCTTTGAGTCAGCTTAGGCAATTTATGTTTTCCTAAAAAATCTATTTTATCCACATTTTCAATCTAATGAAACATTTCGGCCAAGGATTTTTAAAAAAGAAAAAAATGTGTGCGTCGTCTGATGGGACACGTCAAAGACGATAAAAGACACCAGAAAGTAGAATAGGACCAAGAAAGGGGGAAGGAGGAGCTCTGCGGATGCTCCAGGATAATGAAAGTCAAGACAGGATGGGGAGTGGGGAGGGACTTGTGTCCCGGAGGAGAGGAGGCCAGCCTCATCCTGAGCACTCCCAGACCTGGGGTGTCTTGTGACAGTGCAAAAGCCCCTGCCAGTGACTCTGCCTCAGGCTCCAGGTCTCTACCTCAGTGGCGCTGCCTGCTTCCCTGTGTGATGATGGGTCAGGCAAAGCCAGGCCACCAAAGAAGCAAGCCCTGGGCGCCCAGGGCAGTGAGGTGTCAGCCTCCGGTCAGTCAACAGCACGGGTCAGCTGTGATCTGAGATGGCCTGTCTGTTCTCTGCCTTCACAGGGCTGGCCGTGATGGAGGCGGCCCCCTCATTCTCCAGTGTCCTGAAGGACTGCACTGTCGTTGAGGGCCAGGACTTTGTGCTGCAGTGCTCGGTGCAGGGGACCCCGGTGCCCCGAATCACTTGGCTGCTCAATGGTGAGTCCCCCCCTGCTCCAGCTGCCTGGGCCCTTGACCCTGGCTGCATTCTCACTTGGCTTCCCCACATATCACTCTGAACCGTTTATGCATGAGAAGGAAGCACAGGGTACAGAGAGAGTGCGGGACCTGGGAGTCTGCTAATGCCTGTCTGGGGACACTCGGCAAGTTTTACTCCAGTCTGAACCTTGAGCTCCTCGTCTGCAAGACGAGAATAATGCCACCTACCTTCCAGGGTGGCAGTTGTGAAAATTAAATTAGATCCTTTATATAAAACAGTTAATGAGATGCCTGGCACCTAGGTGCACAAGCAATTTAGTTCCTTTTCATATGGCCAGGCTCAGAGTGGGCCTCAATAAATATTTGTTGAGTCAATAAATGAACAAATATACCAACAGATTAATGAACCACACTCGCAGTTGCTCATGGGATCTTGCCTTTTATTTAGCGGCAAGTGGTTTGGGGGTTTATAGACCAGTAATTCTTTTTAACATTATAGTCCTATAGAGACATCCCAACTTTTTTTTTTTTTTTTTTTGGCAAGTAAGGTCCTTTGGGAAAAAAAATTATTATCACCCTTCTCTTTTTTTTTTAAAAAAAAAAAAGCCTTTAAATTCCAAAAGTATGGGAGTACTCTATTATTAGAATTGAGAACAGTCCATAAAATTGGTGAAATTGAGTGGGGTCTGCTTTGGGGATCTGCAGGGAGAATGAAGGAGCTGCACTTGTCCTCCGTATCGAGTGGTTGGGTGACCTTGGACACCCCCCTTTACCTCTTTGGGCATCGTCTTCTTTATTGGTGAGGAGTTGGGCTGGAACAGAAGGTTCGGGTCTCTGGCAGGTCTCACGCTGATGGAATAGGCTCCTTAAGGGAGCAGCGGCCCGTCACCTGTGCACCAAATAGCCCCAGTCATTTCTGCACCATTGCCATGTTGCCTGTGAACCTGCCTCATTGGTATAGTTTGCTTAGGCTTTGCTAGAAATGATCTTTAGTCAGTGAGAGAAGTTGCCTTGGGGTCTCCCTATGTGTGGTCTTCTTGGGCAGAGAGGTGAGAATTGGGGTCTCCACCCCTCTCTATGGACAGAGCTCCTATCGGATTCCGTGACTGAGCGAGGAGGCAGCCTCCTTGCAGCTGGAACAGAGCATGGATGTTAAGGACTAAAGGAAGGGCTCTGAGCAAGAGAGTTTCCCTTCCGCCTGGCTCACACTCCAGGCCAGACATCAAGAAACATTGTCAATAAAGGACCAGTTGGTAAGTATTTCCAAATTTGCAGACCATGCAGTCTCTGTCACAGCTACTCAGCTCTGCTTCATGGCACAGAGCGCAGCCAGAGACAACACATCAATGAATGGGTGTGGCTGTACTGCAATAAAACTTTATTTATGGACATGTGAATTTCACACAATTGTCACACGTCATGAAATATTCCTCCTTTGATTTTTTCCCACCATTTAAAATATGAGAAACTATCCTTAGCTTTTGGGCTATACAAAAACAGGCGTCAAGTGGGATTTGGCCCACGAGCAGGAGTTGCTGACCCCTGGTCTACACCTCTCCAAACTGAAAAGCAACCCCACCTTACTCTTGGCGAATCTTGGCATTTTCACACTCTTCCCACTAGAGGGCGATCATGCACAAGTCGGGGACCCTTGGCCGCCGACTCTGATCTCACCAGTCTTGGAGCTGGGAGTTCTGTGTTGCCTAATTCTGAGTGCCCTGAGCCAACAACTCCTTTCTGGAGCCACCATTTCCCCCCATGCTTGTGGAGCCAAAATGAGCTGTGCTCCAGTAAAAGGAGAGCTCTCAAACAGCTTGTTGGCACAGGTTTCAATAGCAGAGGCACTTAGATGGCAGTCATGGAATGTACTGGTATTCCTAAGGAAGAGAGGCTTTAGGTACATGCGCGCGCGCGCGCGCGCACACACACACACACACACACACACACACACATGGGTGTTCAGTCCTCTCAGTAGCAGGATCCTGGCCCCTGGCTCTCCCAGCCCCCAGCCCCACTTCTATGAAGTGCAGTCGGGCCAGCGGAATCTCTGGCCCTGTGGCTGACTTGGCGGTGCCTGTCATGGAGATGTGAAGTGTTGCTATGTGCAGAAGAAAACATTGGATTGCAGGGAGAGGACCTTTTTCTGCACTTTCTCCCTCTGCCACTGCCCACCCCCAGTTTTATGATGTGCAAACCAGGAGCCTGGGCTGACAAGGGAAGGAACTGACAGTTGCTTTGTATATGTTGAATGGAAACGTTCCTGCTCTAAGGCCAGGATCTTCAGTAATGAGATTCCTTTTTTTTTCCTGGAAATGAAAGCTCACATCCTGGAATGATAAAATCCCGGGAACATATAGCATTAAAGAAACCACTGAATTTCACGCCACACACTTCTATCTCCATGCAGGACTTTATGTGAGCTGAATAAAGGGCCCTCCATGCAAGGGACTCTTGGAAGAAAGGGCCAGAGTTGTTTTTTAGTTCCCTGTATTTATCTTTTCTGTGAATCCTAAAATGCATGTCATTGCAGTGTTAGGTTGAGGGCGCAGAATTGCTTCTGGTAAATATCTGCAATGGGAAATGGAATCATTGATTCTGGAGACATCTAAAAGGAGCCGGGAGCTTCCTGTGCAGTCTGGGTGAGGTCTGTTCTGCCTGAGGCTGGGCTATGGGCCAGATGACCCTGTCAGATTCTTTCCAGGCTCAGGACTCTGTGAAGTCTAGGATGTGGATTTGGGGACTATTTATTTAAACAGAATGCACAGGACTCTGTCCCTTTCCTGCTTGCATTCTAAGTGCTTCCAGAATCTGCCCCCCAAGTCCTACCAGCCCCGGCCTTGCTCCTGCACACACACAATCACTCCCTCTCCTTTACCTCCCTAGCACCTGCCTCTTTTTCCCCTCCTCGAACCTCTGTCCAGTTGGCTGGGGGTGGTCCCGCCACATCATTAGCCCTCAGTGGGGCTGAGCAGGTATGGGGAACATCGCCGTCATGACAACAGCTGCCCTGCTGAGGACAGGGCTCACACCCTGCCACTGGGTGCTCCCTGCCTGAGCCTTCCTGTGCTTCCCTCCACAGGGCAGCCCATCCAGTATGCTCACTCCACCTGCGAGGCTGGCGTGGCTGAGCTCCACATCCAGGATGCCCTCCCAGAGGACGAGGGCACCTACACCTGTCTGGCCGAGAACACCTTGGGGCAGGTGTCCTGCAGCGCCCGGGTCACTGTCCATGGTAGGAGCCCCTGGGCACCTCTCTGGAAGCAACTTTCCTGCCAACACATCTGCTTTGGAGAAAGGGCACCTCACCTAAAGGCAGGTGGAGGCGATGGCCTCCAGGAGCTCACAGTGACCAGGGTCTACCATGGGAGATGGACATGCAAGGCCAGTCCCCACCCCCTCACCCCACCAAGGCTGAGGGAAGATGCAGGGGAAAGAGGCAAAGACTCCCTTGGCTCAAGAAGCTTCCAGTCTGGTAGGCAGAAAACCGCACGCACTGAAAGACAAAGTATCCCTGGAGGACTTAGGCTCTCACAAATGACCCCTCACACCCTGGGGGACACTGGGAGACACCGGGTAACGAGTGCCAGTATTGAGGCTTCCAGAGGGCCACCGTTTGTCCCCCTTTTCCTTCTGCCCTTGCTCCTCCCCAGCGCCCCAGGCTTGCTCTTATACCTCACCAGCCTGGTGTCCAGTAATCTGATTATTACGGTTGTCCCCCATTGTTCAACACCAAGCGCTTAGTCCCAGGAAGTCCCTGGAGAGCCACAGACTCAAGACAGAGCTGTCTGGGCTGTGGTATCGGCAGGCATGGTGACAGTGCCAGGGAAGGACTTCCTGGGCCCCAGGTGTTCAGGTAAGCCTGACTCCCCAGCCCCAGCTGAGCCCGGGCCCCCAGCTCCCCCGGTGACTGGGGCCCGGGTGCTTGGAACAGATGCACTGTGCCCTGCTTTTCCAGCAGCCTAGCAGGAGACATGCCTCCCCGCTCTGTTCCCGCAGGGCTCGGCCTCCTGGGGAGAGTCTCCCTGTATGTGGGCAGCAGCAGCCCAGGGGTGGGGGGCAGTGCTCTTCCTATCTTACATAGAAGGGTCTGAGGGTCTCAAGAAATCAATGTCACTGCCTAAGCACCCCAAGGTCGTGAGCCACACTGGCCTTTTGAACCCAGATCACCAAAGCCACTGAAACTTCCTGCCCTTTTGCAGAGTGCAAGTCCCCTGGCCCCAGAGTGGGGCTGACCCTCGCCCCCGGGGCTGGCCACTGTCGCCCCTAGGGATAGAGGAGTGGCACTGGTGCCCTGACTTGGCTGTGGCCTGGCTGCAGAGGCTCTCTGCAGCCTCTCTGAGTTCTCTGCGATTCCTGTGAAGTGCCCGTGTGCACTGGCCAGCCAGCCGGAGACCGGCCCTGCTTCTTCCGAGGAGGCCCTCCCACTCGGCCTGGGGGCTGTCCTCCTTGCCCCCAGGTCTGTGGGAGGGGCAGGTCCTGGGTGGTTGCCCATCTGAGCATGTTTCAAAGCAGAAACAGAGAGGTCCCCGGCAAGAACTCTGCCAGAGCCACGTGGATCTGCTCTGAGAGCAGCCCTGTGTGAGCGAGGGCCCCCTCCCAGTGTGGGGATGGACTGGGCTGTGAAGGCCAAACAGAGGCTCAGCTACCATAAATGGTGAAGGAGGCTGAGACGTGGCCGAGCTCAGGCTGCCGTGCTGGGCTGCCTGCACAGGGTCGGGGCAGGCCGAGCCTGGCACCGTGACAGCCCTGGCTCTGCTCCCAGGGTCCCCAGGAGGCTGCGGCCCACATCCCGCACCAGCCTCAGCCGTGGAGTTTTTCTTTCTTTATCGGCCGCTTCTTTGGCTGCAGTCTCTGGGGCAGCTCAGGGGGAGGGAGACGACAGCAGTGGAGGCATTAGTCCCCTACTATGCCGACCACTGTCCGGGCCTCTCCCTCAGCTGCCCAGGCCTCCTGGCCTTTTTCTCCCATCCGTGTGGCCCCAGACCACGGCTGGGGCGTGGCTTTGGAGCACCTGCCCAGGTGTGAGTCCTGAGCACGGCTTGCTAGCCCTGCCGCTGGGCTGCTGTTTCCTCTCCGGGCCTCACCTTCCTCTTCTGTGTGATGGGGACACTGAGAGTCACCCCAAGTACTGTGAGGATTACATTAACAAACACACTAATGATCTCCAAACATGGGACATGCTCAGTAAGTGGGTGCCTTTATGATTGTCCAACGGAGTCCCGACCTTTAAACAGATGAACTCCCTTCAAAATGCAAGTCTGAGGAGCGGTCTTACCAAAGGATCAACTTTGCCACACTGGGTGGTTGTTTTTCTGTCTGTCTGTCTGGTCGTTTGGTTTTGGTAAAGGGAAGAGAGAATCAGAATCAGAGAAGGGAAGTGTAGGGCCACACACTAAAGCCATAGCCTGAGCATCCGTTCTGGGGGCTCTGGCCACAAGAGGGCGCCATTCGGCAAAGGCTCTCCCTCCCCTGGTCTGGTTTCCAGGGAGGAGCAGGTTCCCGGGGAACTTTTGCTGGAGGAGAGCTCAGCAGATACTTTGTTGAAGGCCAGACATGGGTGCTCTTTCTCACCTCTTTAACCTTTCGCCAAGGTTTTGCAATCATCCAGAGATTGCTGGCTCAGCAATTTCTGGCAATCGCTCTGATGTGATTTCTGCAGCCTCTTTTCCCTGCTTTCTCTGCCTTCTCTCCTCTGTAACCTCTTCCTCCCGAAATCTAACTCCCTCCCACAAATGTCACTTCCTCTGGGGTGAGTTCTCTTACCAGCTGTACCTCCCTTATGGTTGTGCTAACTTATCAGCAGGTCTCTACTGAGCACCTCCTTGGTGCCAGGCATCGTTCTGGGGAAGCGGCCATGAACAAGAGACAGGTTCTGTCTTCCTGCCGGTTACATTCTGATGGAGAGATGGGCAATCATCCACACCTGGCTTAATCCGATACCAACAAGTGCTATTACGAAAACGAGAATAGAGAGGGGGGTGGAAGGGATCCTTTCTTAGTTAGGTGCTGGAGGAAACCTCTTGGGGAAGGTGACTTTTGAGCAGAGACTTCATGAACTGGAAAAAGAGTGCTCCAGGCAGGCGGCACAGCAAGTGCAAAGGCCCTGAGTTGGGAATCAAGTCAGCCTATTTAAGAGACAGTGAGTCTGGAGCAAAGGGAGTGGGGGGCCCAGTGGTAGAGACTGGGTTCAGAGAGAGGCAGGGCATGTGTTCAGTGAATGAATGAAAGAGCAATGGCGGTGGGTGAGTCTGCCCGGTAGTGCAGGGGGTGTTCCCTCCACCTCCTCACATGTCCGGGGTCTCAGGGTTCATGGGAGTGCTCAGCAAACCCACACGCTAGCTCTCAAAAGCCCCCCAACAAATACTCCTGCTTTCCTCCTCCCACACTAGGAAAAATGTCCCTAGTAGTTAACCAGGCCGTGAAAGTCTTCCCTCCTGACCCAGATGGAGCCTAAAGGATGATTAATCTAAATTCCTGCAGAAGCCAGGAAGATCTGAAGGGGAGTGAATATTTCCGTGTATTTGCACTGAGTCATCGGTGTGGAGGCTTCCTTAGGCTAGAATATTTTAATTTATCTCCCCCTGGAGTATCTTTGTCGAGGCTAAAATTCTTAAGTGACTGGATTTATTAACCTGCTAATAGTGCCCATTTAGACAGTGTCTCAGCCTAATGGTTTGTTTATTTAAGTGAAGACCTGCTGGGCTCTTAAAGGTACCTAAGGACATAAAATGCGGGTAAGTTAAAAAAAAATTTAAAAACCTGATTTCTAAAATAAAAAATGAAACTTAATAAAGCATATTGATTAGAGTATTTGTTTCGATAAAGAGCCTCTAATGAAAGCAACAGGCACCAGGGAAGTCAGCCATTCACTAGGCAGTGAAAGCATCCGTAGAAGCCCAGCTGGTTTTCAGATTAGTGACAAGCTCACTGTGGGGCAGCTTTGAGTACTGACAGCCTCCTGCCATTAATTGGAGGATACTGGCAGGCACTTTGGACGTTGTATAATCTTTCCCTCTATGAGTTTAAAAACACTGAAAACATTAAAAAAAAAATTTTGAGATAACCCTTTTTTTGTTAATTTTTATTCGAGTACTGTATAGTTGATTTACAATATTATGTTAGCTTCTGCTGTATAGCAAAGTGAATCAGTTATACATATACATATATCTACTCTTTTTTAGATTCTGTTCCCATATAGGTCATTGTAGAGTATTAAGTAGAGTTCCCTGTGCTATACAGTAGGTCCTTATTAGTTATTTAGTTTATATATAGTAGTGTGTACATGTCAATCCCAATCTCCCAATTTATCCCTCCTCCCCCCCTTTCCCCCTTGGTAACCATAAGTTTGTTTTCTACATCTGTGACTCTGTTTCTGTTTTGTAAATAGGTTCATTTTTACCATTTTTTAAGATTCCACATAGATTGAAAACATTTTTAATACTTACGTCAGCTAAAGAGAAACTTATTGAGGGGAAAGGATATACATCAGTTTTACCTTGTCGTTTTTGTTTGTTTTTTAAGAACTTTAGTCCGCCTACAATATGTGTCCAAAGTCTTCTAAATTCTATGAAGGCCAGCAAATCAATGTTAAATTATTTTATAACCAATATTTTAGTTTTATACAAGTTAATACAACGGAACTGGTGTTGTGCGCCATGGGGGCCCTTCTTGTCGCAGAAGGGCTTCTGAGTATGTGTTTGTTTCCGTGTCATGGGTCTGGAGCCTTATTTTACTAATTGGACAATTAGAGCTACATCGTGGTCTACCTCTACAGCCATCGCAGGTCATCTCTAGCATTCATTTGCCCAGAGCTCTTGGTCAGGAATGCCATCCAGAATTACAGCTTTGCGTTCCTAATGGCAAAATGTGATGTGTGCTTTGACAGTGTGGTGGCGAGTATGGTTCCCAGACATGCCTCGGGAGGGAACGTCAGCTGGCTTGGATGGTTTACCTTTACATTTAGAGTCTGATTATAACTTCTAAGGCAGTAAGAAGGCTATGGTTGCAATGATTCCTGCCTCCCATCTGGCAACCCTATCATTACTGGTCAGAGATCCTTTGGGGGATGTCATACGTCATTGTTTCCTTTCATTCTTTTTCTTGCCGCTTCTTCCCATTTGCTTTTTAGGTTCTGGAGAAATCAATGGGGAGAAGAAAAGCCAAAAGAGAGAGCAAGGCTATGGGGGGAAGGATCTCTTTTTATGCCCACTGAAGTAGACCTTTTGCTGATGC